AGACGCAATGAAGGCCCGCGACCGAAAATGGTGCGCACACCTCGGAATCCGAATAATTGATAGCTGCGCCGCGTTGCTCGCCGGCACCTCTGCTGCGGATGCTGTCGAATGACGAGGAGTCACGGAGAAGCGAACCGAAGAGCTAGAAACTAACACGAACACGCGGGGTATACCTACGGACGGAAGGAGTTCGTCGTCATTTTACTTTCCTCTTCTCTCCGCGTATGAATAATTCTTGCATAACTCCTGTCTCATTAAAATCTCATTAATTCATGATCCTTAAAGTTGCAAGAAAAGGGGTTGAAAATTGCCAAATTTTTTATTAATTTTTTTTACAATTTGACGATTAAACAGCGTTTCTTTATTATACATTAAATTAAATATTAAATATCATATCGGCGTAATATTTTATATTAATGTAAAAAATAATTGTTAACGTCCTCAAGTTGCTGCAATCTCTCCTGGCGTGCATGTAACACAATTTATTCAAGGTTCATTTATTCGCAGCATTTCTATGGACAATCATCTTTTATCTTGTAATTGCGGAAGGCTGACAATAATATACGTTGTGGAAATGTCGATATGGAAATTATTCGACTCACGTCGCAATAAACATTTTCGACTTATTGCAGATTTTATAAATGTTCGCAGCGGAAAACAACGGGTTACGGTACACGGGTAACGGCGGTATTGTAATTGTCCACAAGCATGATCGTTTATAAATATTCATATTCGAGGAATTATTTGCGACATCGTCCCGTGAGACCTATGCCCTTCGTCGTTAGGTAAATTGCTTTGCTTGTTCGCACATGTGAGAAAATCGACTGTGCATAATGTATCCATTATATCAAGATGATAGCTGCTTTCCCCGAGCTATGCTTCAGAAAAGTAGTTAAACCCGCACCTTGGAGAATGCTGAAACTCGTTGTGTGTTACTTCTTTAATCCAAACAATTATACGATATAATAAATATATGTATATTTTACGTCTCTACGCAAAGTTAGATATTGTATTTACCTACTGAATAAAAATTTCGATCAAATTTTTATTTTAGGTTAATATAAATATTTGCAGTCGCGAATACGGGAATTGATTAAAGATCTCTTATTAACCATAATAACTATTCAAATGTTACATCTATAAGAATGTAAAATCACATTAAAACGACAGAAAATCTAAAATTAATAAAGTATATATGTTAATTGAAGTCCATATTAATTTAAAATTATTACTACTTAGCATTAAACTATATGTATTACGCTGCCTTTCACAATTTTCTCGTATCTCAAATAAGATTAGAATTGGTGTACAATTATTATGACAAAATTACATGAAGGTTATTAATGACTTTATTAATAATTTATAAGAGATAAAGAAATAAAAGATTACTAAATATTTAATCGGATAATGTAAGAAAATGAGATAAGTTTAATAATACAACTTATAATTTAATTACACAATAATATGAGAAAATGAAATATGTTTAATTAAGGTCAGGAGTCGTAAACTAAACAGCGGCGTGCGAATTTAAACGTTAAATACAAACTAAACTTATAACTCAAGCTAAAGTATTAAATTTTGCCGTTAAAAAATAATTATTATGTCAGCAACTTTTAATTATATGTATATATGTAGGTATATATCTGTCATATTTTAGATGGCCAGTATAGAGGTGTCATTGTCGACAACACCGAGGCGGAAGAAAGGCGGCAGTATTTCTGGGGGCGTCCCGTCCCCCGCTGGTCACCGGAACAGAGATCATTACAAAGAGCTGGACGCTCTCCGAGTGGCTTTACGCGACAAAGAAAACATCATACAGACGTGAGTAATTGCTTGATTACATCCTTAAGATACGCGGCTGGGAGAGAGCCTCATTGATCACGACCCATTCCTTTATTATAATGATCGCGCGCAAAGGGATAACACAAACGAGCGATGGGCAATGAGCGAACTTTATATTCTTTATAGAAAAACGCAAGAACCGGATTTTCATAAATGAATACGATCGCGATCCAAAGTCCCTACTTAGCGATAGACTTCTCTGAATTAATTTGTCGGAGCAATTTCTTCACTTTCGACGTTATAATATATGCATGAATGAATCGTCCCAAAAGAGAGCTAAAAAGATAAAAATATTAAACGCCATTAACATTCTTTTTAGCCCTTTTCTGCTGCTCGCTCTTTGCGAATATTTCATACCAACACCAATTCCATTCTTTTCTGAAGTAGTAGACTTCTCATTAGAGGAGCCTTTAATCCATTTATTAAAAGAAAAGAAGACTTATTAAAACATAATGCAGTGTGCAAGCGAAGTATCCTACTCTCTATAAATCTCATAGAGTAGTTCCACCACTAATGTATTAAAGTGATTGCGATAGTCACACCAAAAAAGAAGGTTGTCACTAATTATTGCCTCTAATTTGAATAAATGTGGGCACTCATAGATAGGAGTGAATTTTTCACTCAAATTTTTAGAGCGACTGCTACCGGAGTGATACGATCTCACTCTAAAGTTATAATGAATCACGATTTACTAAAGATTGACTGATAAATGACTCACAGAAATTTTCTATTCAAAATTATAAAGTGACATAATTCACTCTTATAGACACTGATCTACTGCACTCAAAAAAAGTGCTTTTTTACTCAAATAGAGTGCGATTTCACTCCAACTTATAGAGCGCAATTTTACTCTTTCTTAGAATGGCGAATCACTCGAAGTGCACAGCTAGGCTTAATTTTCACTTTTCTTTTACACTTGCATTTCAGTCGCTTTGAATCATATTTCATTCTTTTAGAGAGTACGCAACATAAAATTATAAAAGGATTAATTAAGACGGATGATTTTCTTTTTATGAGAGGTGATAATCCCAGATATTTTCAGCGAGAAAAAAATTAAGACAACTTCGGATCTCAATGTTGCGTTTCTGAGATCGAAATCGCAGGTAGCGAAGGTGTTTTTCTCCCAGTCACGACATTTGTGCCTCTCGCTATTTTTTCAGGCTCAAGGGCCAGCTCTGCAACACGCTGAGCAGCAGACTGGCATTACGCAACGGCGCGCCACCCTTGACCGAGGCCGACAGGAAAGCGGCCGAGGAGCGGCTTCAAAGGTTGCGACGGGACGCCGACAATAAGCGTCTGGCGATTAAGAACCTGAAGCTCGCGCTCGAGCGTCTCGATATCACGGAGTGAGTACGAGGAGATCCGCCGCGGGCTTATTCGGCCCCCGTTTATCGTCAATCGTGATTACCGATACCTTACGAACGTCTGCCATAAACGCGGTAGTATGAAAGAATCTACATGCAAAGTCTATAAGACAGTATAAACAAAAATAAACCTGTCAACGTAATTATCGCAATATGCTTTAATGGGATATTATTGCACTGCGCGTACAAGGCCGACGTATAATCACTTTATCTAATGCACAGCTGATAATTATCAAAATGGTCAGCATAGTTTATGTTTAAGTGATCCGAAAGTGTGTTAATTTATTAAATTTATATCTTTAGTTACTAATTAGCCTAATTAATGTTAGTAAAGGTATTCTTAGATACCATTACGATAATTTAATAAAGATCGAAAAAAGAAGAAATTAGGTAAATAGTTTACATATTTTCTAATTATTTATTGTTATAATATATCAATATTTCAATTTTTACAATACGATAAACCAAACTCGAAATTTATTCTACAATATAATAAATTAATCTTATGATATTATCGAATAAAAGTATGATTTATGCACGAAATGCTTATGAAATAAGATCCTGTATTGGCATTGTATGAAATATATATATAATTAAAGAAATTTGTAGTGTAAAGAGAAAGAAGTTTACTGAATGTTTTTTATTTGTAAAAACAAAATTAATTAAGCAAAAGAATAATTTTTCTAAGACTTTGTTTTTCTGATATCCCAAATGAATATCTAACTTTCATCCAGAAGGCTCAATGGAAATTTTTTTATTAAATATTGATTTACATTGGCGATGAGAACAATGTTTTTGTTTTTAAATAAAAAAACTAATTTTTATAGTAAAAGATTGTCTACTGCAAGAAACAAAATGTTTATTAAAAAATGCACATTAAAAAACAGTTGTCGAAATTAGAATTTATCTATTCGCCAGTTTTGTGATGTAAAGGCGCTTTAAATATACGCAATGTTTATTTCAGCAACATCGATGTTCGAATACAACAAGCGGAACTGGAATACAGACTGGGCCGCGAGGAACTCGAGCTGCTGACTCTTCACGAGGAGAGCAGAGCCTTGCAAACCGCCCTGGAGCTGGCCGAAACTCAAGAAAAACAAAAGAACGATACAATATTCAAGTATACATTCTTTAATTTATTTCATTGCTTATACATAATTCTATTATTAAAAAAAGTAACTAATTGTGAATGTATACACTTAAATCAAATACACTGTACAACTACCGCGGTTTATCTCACATAAGTTTTTTTACTCAATTTAAAATCGAAATTCTTCCTCAAAAAAATTTCCTCCGGCAAATATTTATCTGCAGCTTTCCATCTTTTTTACGACAATATGTTTCTTTGTCGTTTAATATTTTTGTAATTAAATTCCACAAATTAAGATTTTATTGGTCTGCTTGTGGATTTCACTAAAAAATGAAATTTTTTGGCTCCGTTGTACGTTGTGCCTTTCGACGAGTCCTTAATTCAGTTCATCGTCCCGTTTGCAGCTGCATTTCCGGCTCGACACAAGTCACGATCCACGCGATAGAAGTCAGCGCGGATCCGAAAAGTCCCCGTTTCGGAGCCGGGCCCAGGGACGACGCGATCGGCCTCTACGTCGACTGGGCCGTGGAGGAGTCTGGTCTTTGTAAGGGAGACAGGTTCGTATTGTCGTGCACCGCGAGTCATCGAATAAACATCGCGCAGCTGCGCCCCGTCGACGATCGGACGGTGGTAGCGTTCTGACATATGAAATTCACAAATATTGTTCATTCGCCTTACGATATCCTCACATTTATCTACAATATTTGTCTCGTTCCGTTTGCCGCATCGGAAAGATCATAGTGTGTACCATTTTGGCAATCTTGATCTTTAGAAGTTCTTTGACAAATATAAAAACGATTTGCCTCACAGATACATTTAAATTTTTAATTAATTAATTTTAGATATTTTAGTTTTATAATTATAAGTTTAAGATTTTTTAATCCAGATTTTTAATTGTTTGCTTAAGGTACTAATTTTAATATTAAGAAAATTGATCTTTTTATCTGTATTTAGAATCTTGAATGGAATCTTACATTTTAACAGAATGTAATTCTTATTGGTAATTATCAATTAGTTATATTTAACGTTGAGAATTGAAAAATAACAAAAAGGAGAATGTTTAATCGAATTTTTGCTAAAGAAAAATTAACTCAACATTGATTAAGAAATACATTCCTAAAATTTGCCCAAATATTTTAGCAATCTGTGTCTCAATTTTTACGTAATATTAAATTACAGAATAAGACAATCTTAATAATTTCCTACAAAGTCTAGAACACCAATATACAATTATTTTATGAAAATTTTCTAATAACGTTAATCATTAAATAAACCGTATGAAGATATTATTTTCCGACAAAGACATATCTCAAAGCATCTTTCAATAATTTACAAAGACATGTATAAAATAAACGAAATTTTCTATTCTACTGAGATTGAGTTAAAAAAAAAATAAACGACAAAATTCCAAAAAATAAATTAAATGTTAAAATTCTAAAAGTTGCAAAGAGAATCGATGTTTAATCTTTAATTTGGAAAAATTATCTTTAGATTTTTGTAAATACGTCTTTGTTGGAAATACTTTAGTTTAAAATTACTTTAATTTAAGACTTTTAAAGTCATTCAAACATATTGACAGCACCAATAAAACTTTCTGCGCGCGGAACTATAAATCGCGAGTATCGACCGTTTTGTTTTACTGCTCTCGGAGATGTTATCATTATGTGGACGAGACATTCCTCCGCGTTTCTGTGAAACGAGACGATCGTGCACGTAACTGCCAGTAGAGTCGAGGTAACCCGTTCCATTTCGCGCGCTCTTTAATCATCGTCTAACAAAAACAGCAAAAGCCCTGTTTCTGTCGACGTAACGATTACGCCGCTCTCTCCTAGTTCACGCTTTGGAAACGATACATCACTTCCCTAATGTGTGTGTGATACATGAAACTGTATAACACTCTCGCGATTCGAAAGCGCCAAATTATTTGCAATCTAACGGAAAACAATTTATGATCTTGTCGCGTTGATATTTTCCATAGAAATCGCCGCTTGATCTGAATAAGAAAGAAGACTAATATTTCGAAAAAAATTGGAATCTAAAAAACTCTATTAATTTGAGCACAGCCCTGTTAGTTACGGAACGGGTAAAGGAAGAGTGTCGAGGGGTTCATGGTGTTTGTGCAACGACGGTATAGTACTACGACGTAACGTATAGCTATCGGGGAAGAACAATGCAGCAATCTTGACATTTGGTTCCCAACAGGTCGCTGTAGCGTGAAGCGGCACCGGAAGTTCGCCGTATGCCCTCGTTAATTGCACCCGCGACTTCACATGACCCCACCTTCTACCATTTTCCACCAGTATACCAGCTCAAGAGAATTCACTACGACCGGCGGCGTTCCGGATTTACCTATACGTCAGCCACTCAAAAATTGTTCGTGGAAATTACCTATATAGCATAGAAAAGCTGTAGAATAATTTCATCAAAAGATTGACAATGTTGCAAATTTGTTCCAAAACATTGCTGCATTATTGCTGCATGATTGCAGTTAACGTTAAAACGTCTTTAGAAAGATTGCAATGAAACATTATAGCAATAATGCGATGCAACGTATTTGAAATAATGCAATATTGCTGTATAAACCATCTACATACCTATACAGGCTGTATTCTGATATTCATTGCTAGTACTGAATATCTAAAATATATGTGACGTAAACTGTAGATTTTCAGTACACAGTTGGAAAATTTGTGTTAAATATAACAAATTACATGGTCCACCCAAACGGTCCACTCAATTTTTTGTGTTAATTTAATATTAATATGGATGTGTTAATTATAGTAACGCCGCGGCGCCGATACTATCTTAATATTTCAACAGAAATGTAATTTTCGTAAGATCGTAATTTGAAGTTATTAATTGTGTGTACAATTAACATAACTTTTATGTTGAATCTTATGCTGAATTATCCCCACTTCTGTTAATAGAGTAAAATCAACACTCTTTTTCTGTAAATTTTAACACATTTAATAAATACGTTCAAATTGTGTTACTTTAACATATTTTTTAAATTATTTTAATAATTTTACATTTTACCCGGTAAGCAATTTGATAGCAAATTGTCGCCAAGATGGCATCAAATTCGTTCAAAGATTGGTATCAAATCCGGTGCCACCAACTGTGTCATCTTTAAGCCCGTGTTTTGCTAGCAAACCCTGTGTACATAACCAGACAACAAATTGGCAGCAAAAACCGAGCAAGCTTTGTGTAGCGTTGTCTGCCAACAAATTCCCTTATAGAAATTTAATACTGTAAGTGATTTTTTGGCTAGTGATTAATTATTTAAATGCACTATTAAAAGCACTATTAATAGTGCTATTAACAGTGCTTTTAATAGTGCTTTTAAGTGATTAATTACTAGCCAAAAAATCACTTACAGTATTAAATTTCTATAAGGGTTGTCGGCAAATACCGAGCAAGCTTTGTCTAGCGTTGTCTGCCAACAAATTGTCGACAAACACCGAGCAAGCTTTGCGTAGCGCTGTCTGACGACAAATAATCGGCAAAAACCGAGCAAGCTTTGCGTAGCGCTGTCCGACGACAAATAATCGGCAAAAACCGAGCAAGCTTTGCGTAGCGCTATCCGACGACAAATTGTCCTCAAAAACCGTGCAAGAAATGCGCAACACTGTCAAAAAAAAAATTAAAAAATTATATTTATTTCGAAATTTTATTACTATTTTTTAACTAAATTTGTTTCGTAAGATGCAGTCTATGATTATAAATATTTTCTCGTATTTGAAAAACACACACCTTGCCATGCCTTGGTGGGATTCGAACTCGTGACCTCGGGACCTCTGGATCATGAGCCAACTGCCTTACGTGGTAAACTACTTCTTAATTTAATGTAAGTGTTATATATAGTCTACCATACGTCATAACCAGCGCAAATATATAATTTTTCAAAAATTATCTTAAAAAACAAAATTAGTTTAAAAAGAGTAATAAAATTTTGAATTGGATATACGAATATAATTTTTAAAACAGCAGACCAGGAAGAGCTAAAGAACTAAACTGGCGCAAACTGGAGCAAACAAAAACTGAGAGTGGCGGTGGGGCTGCAAAAATTTTGGATTGGATAATATACAGTATATATAGTTATTAAACCGGATTTTGTGTAATAGCCATGTTATTATAGCTAGTCTATATGACCGCATGTGCTCATTATTTAATCTGTTCAATGCTTATTTAATTTAATGCATTTCACGCGGAACAATGGAGCATAAAAGTATTCGAAAATACTTTATATTCAGTAATCTTTTTATTGTTCTAGCAATATATATATATGTATAACAATATAGAACAATAAAAAGATTACTGAATATAAAGTATTTTCGAATACTTTTATGCTCATTATACACTGTTCCTCGTTAAATGCATTAAATTAAATTAAATATATATAAAAATAAAAAAATATATAATTAAGGAGGTTCTACAGGTACTCTCTAGTCAGTTGAGAGATGAAGAGAAAATCTTCAAATTCGTCGATTCTAAGTATTCATAAAATATTTTCGTGAATTTTGATGACGTTAGAGCTTATATCATACCCATATTAGTCGAAGCGAGGAATAATTAAAAATATCGTGTAAGTGCTCGTTTGACTCTGGCGGCTTATAATGGAAGAAAATGTGGTAACGTCGCGAACTTGACAGTTCTGCTCATATGACCGTGGTTATTTCACAATTTCACATAATTCTAGAGCGAGTACTTCTCCGTAAGCGCTCGTAAACGTTAGGTGCTTAAGTTTGAGGTGCTGTCATACTGTGGTGCTGTACTGGCTGTACACTTTTCGCGCGGGTGCAATCGCTGCGACATTGCCAAATCTCCCTTGTTATTCGAAGCACGCTACGTGAACTGTGATATGGCCTGTTTCAATAGCCAATATCACAAAATTTTACGCGATAACCCTTGTTTTTCTCGATATTTCTGAAAAGGTTAGATTAAGATCTATAAGAGCTCCGTTTTTTGAATCTTTGGTAGGTCGCCTTTATATAATTAATATCTCGTTTCCTGTCTCCAAGAGCCCCTCTGCCATATGTAGCTTATGTTAAAAACTGTGATTTCAAAATTCATTTTTGCAAATTTTTACACGGTAACCGATGCTAAAATTTTTCGAGCACTTTTCTCGCATCTCAATTTATACGTCCATAAAGTTTTTTCCAATTTTTAGATACATCCATTATCTGTAGAACCTCCTTAATATCATTATATCGTTAAATTGTGATAGGTCTTGCTCGGTTTTTGCCGCCAATTTGTAATCAGACAACACTACACAAAGCTTGCTCGATTTTTGCCACCAATTTGTCGTTAGGCAGCACTGTGCAGACCTTGCTCGATTTTTGTCGCCAATTTATCGTCAGAATGCTCGACGCAAATCTTACTCGGTTTTTGCCGCCAATTTGCTATTTGGTTATATGAGTATATTTGCCCGTATATTGCCGCCAAAGTATGTCGTCAGGCAGCGCTACACAGATTTTGCTCGATTTTTGCCGCCAATTTATTGTTAGAATGCTCAACGCAAATTTTGCTCGGTTTTTGCTGCCAATTTGCTGTCTGG